TAAAACAAGGATAGAAAAAGAAAAGCAACAGCAAATAACAAAGTTAGGAAATAAACAAGAAGAATTATATGAAGTAACACAAAAAATGAAAATAGAAGATGAAGAGCCTTACAAAAATCTACAAGAACATACTGAAACATCACAGGAAGAAGTAAGTATACAGGTAAAACCGACATGCAAGAGTCAGATAGAGGTAAAGTCACCCATCCAAGAAAAAAAAAGAAGAACAAGCAAAAAGACAAGAAGAAGATGTGGAAATGGATAGAAAAGAATCAAAACAGGGCTCTACATTAGAAGAAAAAGAAAGACAGAAAAGAAGAAAATCAGAAATTGAGGAAGAAATTGATATAGTAGTATTGCTATTAGAAGAAAGCATATAGCCACCTAGTAAGAGAAGTTGCAGCTAAAACAACATCCTACTTGCCAATATACCAGCATATAATGTGCCAGAAAAGTCCAAAGAAGAACATGTGAAATTCATTAGCTGGTCTTTAAAGAACAATGGGCATGTCAAAAACATTAAAGAAGTTTTTAAAAGAGAGAATCTATAGATAGAGGTAGACTTCAATTGTGAATATGGCAGAAGCGAGGCTATACAAAGAATTAATAAAAAAGAAAGTGATTGGTATAGAATGATAGCGGAAGAAGAGAAAAGAGAGATAAAAGGAAAACAAAGAAAATACAATGAAGAATATTTAAGAGAAAGAAATAATGCATCAGAAAATAAAGAAAAAGAATACGAAGAGGAAAAGAATAAAGCAAAGATAGTCAAGGATTGTCATGAGACAGACAAGAGGTCTGACAATAGAAAATACTTGACAATATGGGATCTTTCAACGAACATTAATAAGAAAGAGTTAGAATACATTTGCAGAAAATTTAAAGAAGCTCAGATAGTAAGAATTAAAAGATCAAAATTCAAAACTTTTGCAGTTGTACAGATAGGAAAAACAGATGAAGAAGACATTTCATGGCTATACCAGTTAATAATAATAAACTAGTACAGGTTACGAAAGGAGAAGAAGATCACGAAGCAAGAGAAAAACAAAAAAAATATACAGCAAAACTAACAGAACTACCTGAAAATGCCTTAGAGATCCTGTTATTGCGAAGCTTAAAAAGTAAAGGGTGAAATCTGTTTATATCCCACCAAATAGGAATGGAAACCAAAGAAGAACAGCAACAATCATTTTTGAAACAGAAAGAAAAATGAAGACAGCTCAGTCAAAACTGATTATGTACAACAACTTTCGAGTTTACTAGATAAACAGAGAGAAAGAAGAAAAAAGAAGAAGAGAAAGGTCTAAAGAAGAAAGAGGAAGAAGTTGGGATAGATTCAGCCAGATCTCTGACATAGAAAAGAACAAAGTTAGAAGAGAAAAACAAAAAGACAAAACATATATGAACAAAGCAAGAAATGATGAAGTACCAAGAATGAGAGATTATTCAATAGAAGAATGAAGCGACATGCAAAAGCATAAGATTGAAAATCAAGCAAGATTCAAAAACACACACAAAAAAGAAGAAGAAGGTCTTGAAGAAAGAATAGCTGAAGTCAAGGCCCAAATGCAAAGTAAAGGTACATATGTAGAAGATATTCTAGGCCGAATTTTGGAAAAATTAGAAAGACTAGAAGAAACAAGAAAGATGGCATGGGAGAGTTTGGCCAATCGCTCCTAAAGGTGCTCCGGTTGAACTCATGAATATGGACAAGGAGATAGGAAACTTTCTGTAAAGTGAAAGGGAAATTTTTGAAAGTAGAAACCAAGAAGTATTCCCTAGTCTAAACAAAGAAAAGAAGAGAAAAGAAAGAGTAGAAGTAACAAATATAAAGACAGAACAAAAGCAACTAAAAGAAAAGTGAAAAGAAGGAAAAAAGGAAATAAAAATAGCATTCACAACATTAATAGATTCAAAACCAAGGGTTGAAAACTCAAGCCTACTTGGCTGAGCAGAAGAAAAAGAAATTACAATACTAGGGATTATAGAAACAAATCTCACAGAAGTTGAAGGAAAGTTTTTAGTTTAAATAAATTAGGTAATTGTTATAGAAAAGGTAGATGTGTAAATAAAAATTTAAAGAATACTCTCAAATATTATAAAAAATCTAAGAACTTATGACATCTATTGGGACTATGTAATCTTGGATATTGTTTTTTTTTTTTTTTTTTTTTGGTACTAAGGTGAGGCCTTGCTCGTATCTTTATTAGTAATTTAAAAATAGTAACTACATAGTGACTATATAGAAATACTACT